GTCTTCATTTTCGATCTGATGTTGTTGTCGCCAAGACTATAATTAGAGCATTAAGTGAATATTTAAACGGTTACCTGACTCAAAAGTTAAAGGAACAAAGGAGTGAAGGAGTGAAGGGGAGAAACAACGAAATTTGTATGGGGCTACTTTCTCTCTACTGAACAAGCAAGATGTTATCACCACGAATGTAATGAGATGATAAACATAGTACCAGTGATATAGAGGTAAGCAATTATTTAGTGGTTGTCTATTTACTTTCCCCTGAATAAATCAGGTGTCTACGTGGTATATAATAACTGGTAGTCACACGATTTAGTAAAAGTAAGCAGTAACTTTTCTGAGCCCGTGGTTCAACCCGCGGTCTAAAAATTTGCAATAATAATTGTACATAGCAAAAAAAATTAGAGCGAGTACAATTTAGACAGTGCATGCTTTTCACTTTGTTTCATGTCATTCGATTGATGTTTGAAACAGATTATATTGTTTATTAGTTCAAACTTAGCACGTTGAAAACGTGTAATCTGTATTTTGCATCCGTGACACAAATTTTCACCCGTTTAACATGGGAGCAGCAGTCTTTTCAGACCGATCAGAATTTTTAATTTTTCTCCATTCATATTCTTAAAAATGCTATTGTACACTTATCCAACAAAGTCAAGTAAGAATTATTGAAACTGACTTACATCCATTGTTCCCTTCGGTGCTTCCTTTCCGAGAAAATTCTCAGTTTGTTCTACTGAATTAACGGTTTCGGTGTTAACTGCTGAGACACTTCAGTCACTCTAAAATCCGATAAAGAAAAACAATAAACATTCCTCTGTTTTTTCACCAACACAGTACAAGCTCGGGTAACTTGAATACTTTTTATGATGAGATGACAACAAACTTTAAAGGAACAGCTTAAGAAAGTAACCCGGAAGTGCGCAGAGAAGGAAAGAATCGCTCCTCGAAATTTATCTTTTCCAGGAAGATTTTTCTTAAATGATCGTAGCTTGCGAGTATTTTGCTGTTGAAATCGACATGTGTATCCAATCTAGCTTGGCGACCAACGGCCTGGCTTATTCTTAACACTCGTTTCATGCTTACCTGCGATACCCTGTCGCTTTCTGTTGTAATTTGATTACGGAAAGTCGATCAAGTTACCTCTACTGATCAACTCGATTCTTTCAAACAGAGAGAGCATCAGCGAGAAATAGGGCCACGATTGAAAGCCATCGTCTGGTAATTTAACCCTGCGCACCAAAGTCTACACCAGTTGAAGACTCACACTAGCTGAAGGAAAACTAAATTGATCTCGCTCATCAAATCTCGACAACGCAACGAATCGACAAAGTGAATCAGAAGCGAGAGTAAAACGAGTGAAAGCTGTTCTAAAAAGTTAATTTAGTGCAAAGGAAATTTTGAAAAAGACATACATACCGTTAGGAATGTTTCATTAGCAACGGTCATCGATGGAGTATTAGGGGTATCGAATGGTCTCATTCAATTTAAAAGTGCTCGAAAAATTTGGCCTTTGCTCGAATTGCTCGCAAAAATTATACGGGTGCTGGCTTGCTCGTGCTCGCAAAATTTTTGCAACTGCTCGCATGCTCGTATTTTCTTAAACATGTGCTCGATTGCTCGAAATTTTGTTAATCCTACTTTGTAGTCATTTTTTATACATATATAAATGATAAATCAGCTATCATGTGGTTAAAGCAAAAAGAGGAAAGATCTCCGTAGAACCCCCTACCAATCAAAAACAGAGCCGAAGTCCCAAAGGTAATCTGTTGTTTTGCTTCTGTTTTCTTTTGATCCAAGAATTGGGTGCATAATGAAGTATGGGGTGACACGGAAATCTTTCCCCAAAAGGTTGAAACATTCTTATCTATGGCGTCAGCAACTGTTTTGGAGTATTCAAAAGATTTAATTTCTGTAAATACTAGCCAATACTGGTTTTGCTCTTTCCTTCAGCGGATTCGCTTTCATTGCTTGAAGCTAGCCTTTCAATAGGTGGTTTGCACGTTACGTCAATGCCGCCATGTTGGTGGACGTAAACTATAGATATCTCATTGGCTCCTTTTGTTAGTCCATCAGCCTTTGTTCCTTTCACCATTGTTACCTGTGTCTCTAGAGATTTGTTGCAAACCACCTATTGTTGCTTCTTTGACCAGTTTCCTGGGTATTTTACCCAATGACTAAACACGAAGGCGCGCTCTAAAAGGAGAGGTACCTTAGGTGCCTCTGGGGTAACAATGGTAAAAGAAACAAATGCAGGGTGACGAACAAAAGGAGCTAATGAGATATCTATCGTTTACTTCCACCCGCATGGTGGCAATGATGTAATGTGCGAACAACCTTCTTCGATCTCAAACTTACCGCCACAAATGAAGACAGGTTCCATTGAAGAAAGCAAATACAAATCTATAAAAATTCTTGTATTGTGATGAAAAAATAAAACAATTTTGAGGAATGCACCCGCTGTTCACTGCTTTGGATTAGCTATAGCTCAAGCTGACTTGATTCTCAGAGTTCTGCATCACACGCCTTCGTGTTTAAACCTTCCTTCGCTTGAACAAGAAAACGTGACTGCAACACGATCTAGTTACCGGAAATTCTGACATAGTAAAGAGGAAGTTCGACATGACGGGAGTTGACATAATCTCCAACTGAGACAACATTACTTGAGAACCGTTAATGATCTAAATTCCCATTTATTTGAGCAAATTATCAGGGTTTGTACATATCATGGTTTCTCTAGTAAGCAATGGGAAAATAAAATGGAAGGAGTCAAAATATTTTAAAACAGTGTACTCGGATCGCATTTTGTAGCGGTTTTTTCAACCTTGGAAGCTTCCTGGCCACTATTAATCATAACTACTATAATTTGATGCCAAACGATGGCAGATGAAACCCGATTAAACAAAACAACATTAATAACAACCCTCGGTCATTTGGGCTTCACCAGCTCAGGGAAATTCTTAAATGGAATGTTGCTTTAATTATTTTGATAAAAAAAATAGAGGCGTAGCCAAGCGAGGAGACACATTTAGAAACTGTTTCCATGTCGTAATGAAACACGAAATGTAGAGTAATACTTGAGAAATACTATTACCAGTACTGTTTGACCTTCAGAGCTACGTACTAAAGCTTGTCAGATCTGTACGGCTGTAATTGGTTAGATTCCAGAAGCCTCCAAATGAATAAAGCTTCATTGCGTTGAATTTTTTTCAGGCAATCAGTGGGAAACCAGTCTGCCGATCATCTGTACCGAAGCCCAAAATGCTTGTTAGACCGAATATCACATTATTTACATTTTATAAGAACTATATAACCAAAAAAAGATAGCTTCCATTTTAGCGTCGGGTTAGAAAAAGATGGAAAACTTTAGATCGCGGGCGTTGGATCTAATACCTCTCCTTGAGAGCTTTTGAAGTTCTTGAACATCCACCCTGACTGACTCACGCCAGGCTACGTGACGTAATATAATTTGGCATCAAGCAGGGCAATTGGCTGTAAGATGCTGGGAATGGTTGAACCGCCCAAGCTTTACACCTTTTGTTCTGTTTTGGAGGTGTAAGCCCGCAGATTATTAGCTATTACTCGACGCAAAATAATGTATCCTACTAATAAAAGAGAGATTCCGGCGAGCGGAAACTACTCGAAGTGCCCTCTGCTCGCCATCTGAATTTTACTAGAGTGCTCGCCGCTTGCCATCTGTATTTTCTAAAGTGCTCGCTGCTCGCAAGAAAAATTTGACAACTGCTCGTGCTTGCAAAAATAAACACACTGCTTGCATGCTCGCAAATACTCGCAAAGATCGACCATTCGATACCCCTGCTGAGTAATTTCACTCGTTATTTGTATTTTGACTCGCCTTACGGGCTCGTCAAAATACAGCAGAGCTCGTAAAAATACTCAGTGATATTAAACAACAAAGGGTCTAATAAGATATAATCAACTGAATTTGGTCCCACGACTTAAAAATAATAGCCTCAGGTAACAAAGTTTAGCAACACGACCTTCCTGTCTAGTTTTGTGCACTTAGCGTTAACACATGCAGTTGAAGTATTGTTGAGCCCGCTAGATGAATAAACATTTGTGTCCTATTTGACTCTCAGGGGATTGTTCCGGGGAACTGTTAAAAACCTCGTTCCCAAGGCCTTTTCTCTAGGTTGGGAAACACAAAAGGCCCTAGGAGCGAGGTTCGAACTGATACATCACTAAGATCTCGATATTTTCTTGAATAAAATACCTATCACTCCGTACTTTATTCGACAGGAAATATTTCTCCATATCTTACCCAGTAGCTGAATAAATATAAAAGAAAAATAGTTTTTTAAAAGATATCGGAAGCAAAGAATCATCGGAGATNAGTTGCAATTTCATCTTTTTCTTTAATGTTTGTTTGAATTATGATTCCAAACAAAAGAGAAAACAAATATATGGAAATTAGCAAAAAGAAAAGGCCACTTCAGATGTTAAGTTTTCCTACGCTGTTAAAGAAACTTGATATTATTTTGACTATTTGGTGGAAAGTATGAGGTAAAAGTTGTTCATCCGACTCCTAACGTCGAGTATTGCCGAATGTTAGGGGGGTGTTTGATTGAATTTTCTGTCTAAACATATCAAGAAATGAACCACGTTAGTTCAATATGTGGAAAAATTGTCTATTTTAGTTCCTGTTCCTTGCAATGATAGAATCCTGATGCCCATGAATGTAATCCGCACAACCTCGATTTATGGATTCAGGTTTGATGTAAATACAAATTTAGCTTAAAGAAGGTGTGCTTCCATAGCTCTTAATTTGTATTAGTATTTAAGTTATCACAATTTACACCGAATGATAAAGCACTTGTCTGAATTCGAAGTGCAATGAATACAGTTAGTATTCTTTTTAAACACATTTATTACCTAAGTTATCTGTGTATCTGCTGGTTCTAGTGGATCTGGCAAAACGTTATCAGTTTAAGTTCTGGAGAATCTTTCTATAAAAAACACATAATATTTGTCACACTTACTGCAATTGAATCCTGCTTTGCATTTGCAAGTGTAAGACCCGTCTGTGTTATTGCAACTTGCATTATAATGACATCCATGGATATTGCTGGTACACTCGTCCATATCTAAAAAGTTTGATAAAAAGCGGAGAAAGTGTTGGATGGACACCAATTACAAATCAAAAAAAGAAACTATTTCCACAGGGGAGCTACAGTGAGGGAAATTGTAGAAAATAAGCCTTATGATAAATTTTTAGGCTTCGACGTGATTCGAACCCTTCGCCCCAAGTCACTATTTGGTCATTACTAACAACAACTCTAGCAAACTTGACAATGATGCATACAGTCGAACCTGGATTATCCGGACTATTTGATTATCCGGACTTTTTTCTGTGGTCCCAATTTTTTCATGAATATTAATTAGTTGGGATCTTGAAAACTTAGAGTCGCAAAAAGCCCAATAATCCTTTCAAGACTGTTAAAACAGCGTATTATCCAGTGCACTTTTCAAAATTCGCAAGTGCGACGAGACAAAGAAATATTCTGATGTGTTATTTGTTAATACATACAGGCTGTGTAGCTATGACAATTAAAATGATGTTTTCGTTGCTGTATACCTTTCCTTTACATTTCTATCTCATTAATATTCATATTTTCGATTATCCGGAATATTTACCGAGGTCCCGACGAGTCCGGATAATCGAGGTTCGACTTTATCAGCAGTTAATGTTTTGATCTTCAGCTAAATCTCTCTCAGCCAAATTGAAAAGAGATCAGACGGGATGTCATCAAACCGTCTTCTCCTCTTCTCCTAACAATACAGGATCAGCTATCTATTATACCCGGAAATTTTTTCCTCATTTAATATGTTTAATACTTGGAATTGATTCAGAATCAGCTGATGTTATCCGCTGCTTGGTTAGCTCATACTGTAGAGCGCTAGATTGCTTAGGGA